TTCGTTTTTTTTGGCTAGTATTATAATGGTACCATTTCATAATCTAAAAAATATAAAAGAAAGAAAAAAAAAATTAGTAGTTCTACATCTTGAATTTTCTGTTTTTATGGTTCTAATTACACCAATAGAACTGGGCCTTTAGACTTAATAGTATGACTCCAAGTCTTAAGTGTTTGGGTGAGATAGTCGGAGTTTCGAACTTTACCACCGTTGTGAATTCTACCAAAAAGTGATCTGATAACCGCGCGTCTCATTTGAGGGGGTAAAATGTTCATCCGGTTTGAAGACCTGTTGTTAATAACTAACTCACACTAATTTTTTAACCATTATTCTTGTAAAAAAAAAAATAATTACTCTAATCTATAAATTAATTTTTCGAATCTAATAATTCATTTACAAATTTTAATACTTGAGTTGAATTAATTAAAAATTTAAGTTTCACTAACTACTTAAATATTTATATTTAACCTACAGATTATAAGTAGGCAAAAATATGACATAAAGACCCGAACTTACACCAAATTCTCAATTTCGGACCCAAACTTTGATTGCGCTCAATGAAGGTCCCGAACTCCACCAAATTCTCAAATAAGGACCCAATTGAACGGAAAATTAACTTCCGTTAAATCTCCTATTATTCCGTTAATGTTCCGTCACACTTCACACCCGCCACTTAAAAAAATTGATTAAATTCTAATTTTGGTCCCTCAACTTCATTAAATTGCACTTTTTTGTCCCTCAACTTCATTTAAATTTCACTTTTTGTCCCTTAACTTGATTAAATTGCACTTTCTTATCCTTCAACTTTATTAAGTTATACTTTTTTGGTCTCTAAACTATTTTTTGCACTTTTTTGGTCCTTAAACTATTTTTTGCACTTTTTTTATCTTTAACTTTAACAACTGCACAATTTTGATACTTTCATCAGTTTAAATCGTTAACTTCATTCATGTGGCATTTTTTATATTTTTTTGATGACATGTATAATCTAACTGGAAAAAAATAATAACATAGATCATCTAACTAAAAATAATGATGACATTGATAAATAAAATAATATCTAGATAAATTTTTATATTTTTAATAAAAATAAAAAAACCTCTCCACCTATTTTCTTCCCCTGCTAGAAGAAAGAGAAAGAAAGAGGGGGAAGAAAATAGGTAGAGAGGTTTTTAT